CGGCCTCCTGGGGCCCCTTCCCTCGTCAAGGTGACTCGGGATATAGAGAAGAGCCGCAGTCCTGCGGAGTGCCCCGGGATCTGTTCGCCGCTCTTCGGCCTCCTGGGGCCCCTTCCCTCGTCAAGGTGACTCGGGAAGAACAGCTGCCGTCCTGCGGAGAGGGGCTGCCGTCCATCGGCAGCCCCCCTCCCTCGCGGCAGCGGCTCCGTCGGCCTCGCGCGGAAGGGCCCCTTTTCGCCAGGGCGTGCCCCTTGGAGCGCCCAGCCGCCTCGGGAGAGGGGGCGTCCCCTCCACCTCCCCCAGCGCAGCAGGGCGCGCCTGGTCGCTGTCGTTTCTGCTCCTCGCCGGCGCAGGTGGTCCAAGAGGCCCCGCTCCCCTCATCATTCCTGCCTCATCGTCGCCGCCGCCTCGGTTCGGAGGGTCGGTCGGGATGGCGTTGGGGGGGCCCAGTCCTGGGCGCAGGAGTTGCACATCAGATTTCGGGAGGGAGCAAGTGTTGTCAGGCTCGAGACGGCGGCGACGATGATGCTGATGCGAATGAAGATGATAGGTCATGGCCGTGGTGATAATGGTGATTGTGATGGTCGCGGTAGCCTTGCTAGCGATGGCGACAGTAAGGACTAGGAGTCAAGGAGGCACATCAAAAAGGTGGATGCAGACGCGGAAAGGAGAATGACAACGAACGAGAAGGCAGAGGTGTCCCTTCGTCCGAGACTGACAGGCCTTAGCGCCACCTCCGACCCTGATCCCCGCTGGCATCTCTGACCTCGGCGCCTTCCGCCCACGCGTAGGAGTGACCCTTCGCCGGAGTAACCCTCCTGTGCGGGCCCCTTACACCCAACACTTGCCTGCGCGCTTGAAGGTGGCCCCCACATGGCTCCGAATGCCGCGCACCACTGGTCACTCTTGCCTACCCCGAGGCTGGTAATGAGCGTGGGGCGGGGGGGGCGCCACCCTCGCCGACGGCCCCGCATCGACCCCCGTCGAGGCCAAACAGTGCCGCCGCGACGTCGGCCCCCGTCGGCACACGCCACCCGCCGCCAAAATCAGTGCCCCCTCGGCCATTGGGACTTGGGCATCGGCCTTGCGAAAGAGCTCGATTTCCAGTCTGGCATGTGGTTTACTGTTATTCCAGGTGCTCCCGCAAACGAGCTGGTAGCCACCGACACCAGGTCGCTCCACAACTGCGAGGCCCTCCGCGAGGCGTTGCACGTTCACCCTTCAGCCAGGGCGACAGGTCATATCCATGGCACTGGCATTTCCGTCATCGCCCTCGTCACGCCTCGCCGCTGGGCGAGAGTCTCCAATCGGACGCGTGCACCCGTTACGCCGTGGTGGTCAGAGACGTCCTTGCCGAGTGGGCCAGCCAATGCTTGCCTTTCGCGCCCTCTCGGCGCCCCGGGTGGATTTCCCACGCTCTGGCCAAAGCATCGGCGCGTTTAGTTCGGCCAGAAGTGGCACATACGGTCGCGGAGGACATCTCCAAGCTTCCGGAGTCCATGCGCGCTGGTGGCGAGCTCGAGCATCTTATATCGATGGCTCGGGCCGCTGACTATCTGGGCTCCGACGTGTACCTGATGACCCAGACGTTTGTAGAGGGGTGCAGGCAGGCAATACCAGTCCCGGCCTTTGCATGGGATTGGACAGAGGTACAGGCCTACCAGTGGGCTCAAACGCAACACATCAATGCATTAGAACTCGCAGCTTTCCTTATTCTCGTTCGGAGCAGAGCTGACTCCGTGGACTTCCACATGAAGCGCTTCTTCCACGTTTTCGATAGCCGTGTCGCTTCCTCCGTGGTTGCAAAAACGGCGTTCGTCTTCTCGCTTGCTTGATCGTCTATGCAGGCGCTATGCTGCGCTCGCTCTCGCCGCCATCATTTACGCGACGACTCTCCGGACCATCGGTTCCTGGAACCGCGCGGACGGCGCCAGCAGGCGCCTTGGCACGAGCTATGACGAGAGTGCCCACTAGACGCCAGCGTGTCCAGAGAGCTCACCGAAAGTACGTCGGCGCGCAGGCTGCAGCATTGACACGGTATAGGCAGGCTATACGAGAACTCGTCATAGAAATGAAGCTGCACGGCATCGACGTCCCGGCTCCTTGCGGGACCTTGACATGGTTGCGAGCGAGTGCATGAACCACTTGCACCAAGACGATCGGCCACGAGCATATTGGGGAACAGACTTCGTCAGTGTGCTCAAGCGCTCCTTTCCCAGGTGCTGGCGATCGCTGGACATTACAACATTGCACCAGCAAGATTGGTTACGTACAGTACGGCGCACTCCGGCCACCCCATTTCCAGCTGATGTCCTTTTGGGTATGATTGCCGTGGCGCTGCTGCGGAAAAAGGGCCGGGTTGCTTTTTGCCTCCTATTGGGCTTCGTCGGCCTTTTGAGGTCAGGTGAAGTTCTTGTCTTTGTCACCCGACTCTTGTCGGTACACGGAGGTGTCACGTGCCTCCTCGTATCTTTCCCGGACTCTTTGGGCGCCAAAAGGCCGAATCTCCCAGAGCAGTTGGTCGTATACGATCGGGGTGTTTTTCATCTCGTTCAAATTGGGTTTCCTTCCATGGACGCCAATACTCGGATTTTCCCTGGTGGCTGGCGCAAACTTCGGTCCGATATCCAGGAACGTGCTTCGAGCCTCGGCTTCCGGGCAGAATCCTTGACCCATATTGTTTCCAGAGGGGCGGTGCATTTTGGCATGTTGTCAAGTATGGCTCTCACGACGCAACTCAAGCACTCGGTTGCTGGTTACATCCGCGCACTGCCAAACAATACATGGATCAAGCCAAGGGCTGAGATTGGCCTCATCTCTCTTCCGAGCTGGGGCGATCGTAGAATTCAGAAGACCAAAAGGCGTGTCTCAACCATCACTGCGGATTACGGTTAAATCGGGCATGTCCCTCTACAGGAGGAATATTCAAAAATAGTTGTTTTTTTTAAATAGTCTGGGGACGACTGTTTGACCATGTTTGACTGTTTTTGCACATTTTCGATTTTTTGATCCAAATCCGCCTGTAGGGGGACATGCCCGACCTAAGATTACGGCCAGCACCATCCGCTGCAGCACCAGCGTGCGGGGGCAGCCTTCCTGTGCAGGTGAGGCGGGGTCGGTGCCGCGCCTCGGCCTCCGCGCGGGCTGGCGGGGGGCTCGCGCGGGACCTTCCTCTCGCTCGGCCTCGGCCCCGGGTGCACTGGCTCGTGAGCCCAGGCTTCGAGCTGCGGCCCCCACGGCTCGTGAGCTGGCCGTCGGAAAGAGGCGTCCGGCTCCCGGGCCGGGACAAGCCCGCGCTGCGCAGAGCAGGCCCAGGTGCAGCTGAGGAGAGCGGTCCGTGGGCACGGGTTGTGCTGGCGAGCTCCTGAGGGGCTGCTGGCGCACTGCACTCGGCACACGCACGAGGCAGCACCGTGGGTGGTGTGGCGCAGAGCGTAGACAAAAATCTATGCTTGCTGGCTCTTTCGCGGCTTCTTGAAGGATTGGGCCGTCTTTGGCTCGACTGGGCCGTCGTCTTGGGAGGCTCTTCGGGACCTCTTCGAGTCTTCCTGGGCCCTCCGGGGCCATCTGGGACCCTCGTAGGGCGCTCAGGAAGCAGCCCTCCCGATCAGCTCTCTATGACTGAGGGGACCTCTCGCCTTCCAGGGATCGAGGTGTGAGCATGTCTTCCTCGGCGGAAGGCGGCGGGAGCCGGCGGAGGTGAAACGAGGGCAATCCTTCGCCATGGGTGGAACGGGTGCTGAGGTGTTCCGCCGTTTTCGGGCCCTCGGGGCCCTCCACGGGCCCCGTGATTGTCAGAAGACGAATCAGGATGAAGAGCTGGTCCTGTGGGGAGACCCCAGGATCCAGGACCCGTTTCCCACATGACCCGTTTCCCCCATGCTAGGGTCACGCAGGCGGAAGCCGGCCGAACGCGTCGCAGGTAAGCATTGCACCCCGAGAGATGGCAATTTGTTGGGTGAAGGATCTCAGGGGTCCCAGAGTTGACCATGGGTGCATACGTCTGCATATCTATACTGCAACCACCCAACAACCAGAAAAACGGCCGCGGGAGGAACGCGAGCGGCGCCTGCCACAGCATCTTCGGCGCGCAGGACGGGAGCCGCCCGGACGCCCCAGCCGCAGCCTCATGCAGAGGGTTTCCAGAAGCCCCTGGGGACCTATCGGGACCTCCTTGTCCTCCTCCTCCTCCTCCTCCTCCTCCTCCTCCTCCTCCCTCCTCCTCCTCCTCCTCCTCCTCCTCCTCCTCTTCCTTCCCCTCCGTCTTCGGTCCGTCGGAAACCTCTTTCTCCAACGGTCGTCTCCTCCTCCTCCTCCTTCTCCTCCTCCTCCTCCTCCTCTTCATTCTTCCCCTCCGTCTTCGGTCCGTCGGAAACCTCTTTCTCCAACGGTCGTCTCCTCCTCCTCCTCCTCCTCCTCCTCCTCCTCCTCCCCCTCCCTCCTTGGCTGAACAATTTCGACGTCCAGAGGCTCATCGTTCGGCCCGGTACATCATCTTGGAAGATATTTGTTGGTACCTCTTAAGCCTGATAGTGGGCTTGGTAATCTGCCTCCTCATCATCCACCCCTGGATAACGCCTCCCTGTCGCACCACCGCAAGTGTCCTTGGGGCGGCCCGAGCGTTTCGCCTCACACTTCCGTGCAGCTAACGATATCGAAGCTTGAAACCTCCAACTGTTACACGGATGGCACAGGTGGTTTGCAAAGTGGCGCTCTCGCCTTAGCGCCGCGCGCACCCGTCTTCGGACAGACCCTGGACAAACCCAAAGAAGCACGGTCCGTGAGCGGTCGCCTCGAGCTCGTTCTGCAAGAGTGAGTACAAGTTCTTCTGGGCAAGCTCATGTGGAGAGTTGAATGCCGTCCTGTCAGAGTCTGGGAACGCGTCCACGGGCGCCTTTTTGCGCCCCTGGTCAGTTGGAGCTGTGCGGGTTCAGGTCGTTCTGGCGCGAGCAGGAGGGCCACCGCGCAGGAGCTCTCTGTCTTCACCGCCGGTGCACCCCATGGCCTCGCACGAAGCGCGAAGTGCCTCACGCGCGGCGTTGCCCCTGGGCTCCGTGGCTGCACCGGGCGTCACAGGGTGCAGGCCGACCGTCGAGTGCAAGATTACACTCGAGCAGTTGGCCGAGTCCATGGATCAAATCACATAAACAAAAAGAAAGGGGGGAAGTTAAACAAACAAACAAACAAACGAACAAACAAACAAAAAAAACAAAAAAGACGTGCGGATTTGCGGTCGCGCAGCTACTGGGGTTACGCTGGCTTCTGCTGGTGCGGCGGCAGTCTTGTGTGTTGCCCCAACGTGCGATGCAGTAGAATGCGCACTCCATGTTGGCATTGGCCGCTGTCACAGAGCGAAGTGTGAAGCAATTGGTGTTGCTCACGTCGTTGTTTCAGCAAGGGTTGCAGTTGGCATGGGAAACGTTGCGAGAGCGGTCAAAGAAGCAGCGGATGTTGCGGTCAAACAAGCAGCGGAAGAAAGGGCCAAGCAGGCCACCATTCAGACCTTTATACGGGGTTATGCAGGCAGTGTGACAATGTTTTAGACGCTTCGCGTAACCCCACCAGCCCATCCAGAAACGATGCCCAGGCGAGTTGCCCTGATCAGGGATGTGGAGGAGCATGCAGTGGAATAAAGGGCTAGGGAAGCCGTCATGCCCCAAGAGGAGGAGGATGGAGGAGGAGGAGGAGGAGGAGGAGGAGGAGGAGGAGGAGGAGGAGGAGGAGGAGGAGGAGGAGGAGGAGGAGGAGGAGGAGGAGGAGGAGGGGGAGGAGAGAGGATGGAGGAGGAGGAATAGGCGGATGAGGAAGAGGAGGAGGAGGAGGAGGAGGAGGAGGGCGAGCAGAAAGGCCAGAGGCCTCTTGGATGCCTCTCGGCGTCTCTTCGGATGTCTCTTAGAGGTTTCTTGGAGTCCTCTTGGGGCTTCATGCGGGCCTCTTGGCGGTCTCGAGGGAGGCCTCTTAGAGCGTATTGAGCCATATAGAGGCCTCGGAGGGCCATCGGCAGCGAAAAGGCGAGAAGGCAACAAACAGTGATGCTCTTCAGGTTTGGGAACGAGTTGGGCCTTTTGGTGGCTTCCCTGGGAGGCTCCGTGGCCACTTGGAGCCGTCTTGTGGCGGTCTTGGAGCCTCTTGGAACATGTTAGAAGCCATCTTGGGCAATATTGAGCCATCTTGGAGATCATCTTAGGCTCTCTGAAGCCCTCTTGGAGCCATCTTGGACCGCCTTGCAAGCTCTATTGGGTCGTGGGGCGCCTTGTACAGACCCAGGGGGAAGGGGTAGGTGGAGGAGTCAAGACACTTCCTGCCCAAACGGCACCAGCCGTCTCGCTCGCTTCCGCCTGCCCTCTCAACACACAAGAGCCGCCGCGGGCTGGAGGCGCGAGAGCAGGACCGAAGGAAGCCCCGCTAGATCGGGCTGCGAGACGCGATGGGGGCCCCCATCGCTCGCGACGGCACGGTCCTTCATGGACCCAGAGCGAGTCACGGGCCGCGCCCGCACCAACACGGGGAGGGCGCACGCGAGAGCCGCGGGGGCGATGCGCGGACAGCCCCGCCCGCGCACGGCGCCCCGCGCACCATGACGATCGCGCGCGCCAGGTTGCCGAGCCGCGCGAGCTGGCAGCGCTCAGCCACACGCCGTGCGCCACGGCGTGGACAGAGCCCGTTGCGGACCCGGGCCAGACCACCAGGCCTTCCGCTCGGCCGAGCAGAACGCCGCGAACGTAGAGATGCCCCCTGGCGCTGGCGGCGCCGGTAAAGGCCAGCCGCGGGGCCCCCCCTCGGGAGGCGGGCGCGAGCGCGAGAGGCGGCAAGGCTCCACGCGACCCTTCGGGACGGGAGACCCGCCCGCACACTTGCGCGCCGCCCCCCACGCCCACCCCACCATACCCCTGCGAGAACGCGCCACGGACAGAGGAAAGCCAGACAGAACGGCCAGGACCGACGATGGCGACCGCACGGCAGCGTCTACGACAACTACTCGGGACAGGGTCAGCGGCCCTGGGGGGCACGAATGGCGAGAGGCCGCCCGCGCACTTCGACGCGCACGCCGTCGCAGCAGACGACCTGACCGATACAGGAACCGCCAAGGGCACTGAGGTCGAGGGGAAAGAAGAAATCTCGGGACCACTACAGGGTCCGGCAAGAGGCCCACGCCTCGCTCATCACCGCCGCCATAGTAACGTTCGGGCTCATTGAGGCTCGTGAGCGGGGGCAGATTTCACAGGCCAAGCAGGCGAGATCGAGGGCGGGGGCGTCCGGTAACTCTGGCATCCTCAGCGCCGCGGAGTCACAGTCATTGCGGGCCGATCCCTCGCCACGAGCAAGTCCCCACCTGCACGCAGCACGCGGCCCGCGGGGCAGCTCGTCCACGCCGACGACCCTGAGGCGGTCGGCTCGGAGCGACACGGGAGGCTGGCCGCCCTCATCCGAGGCATCACCGTGGACAGCCACAGCCCACCAATACGGAGGACCCGGGCGCGGGGCGGCCCCGAGTCGGGCGGCATCGGCCCCAGCGGGGATTGCCCCCATACACACACACACAGACACACACCAAGTGCTGCGCGGAGGGGAGGCAGCTGGGCGCCCAGCTGGCGGGCGCCTGGAAAGTGCGGAGGCGCGGCGCCGCCCACGCGAACGGGGTGGCGACCGGACAGGGACGCCCTGGAGTCGCGGAGACGGCCACGCCGGGGCAAGACCGCCCCTGGGACGGTCAGACACCCTTGCGCCTCCAGCGTCGCGCGCCCTGCAGAAAGAGGGCCCCCCCAGCAGTTGGCGGTCAGACTCGGGAGGATGAGATCGACGGGGGTCCGGGCAGGGAAGTTGCGCACGGACGCACCCGCGCGCTGGAGATAGGGCGGGGGACAGCCTGCCGAGAGAAGCAGCAGCGGAGGCGGGCCCCAGACGACCTTTCGGGACGGGAGCCGCGCCTACACACGGGCAGGAGAATCAGGAGGCGGCCCGCGGAGGAGGACACCAGCAGCGGCATGGCCCCACGCGACCCTTCGGGGCGGGGGGTCCGCGCATGTCAGGGAGACTTCGTAGCCTTGCGACGGGAAGGATCGACCCGCGGACGCGCCTTCGGGACGCGGACGCTCCCGCGACACGACGGCGCAGGACATGACGGGACGGTACGGAGCCCACGGGGGGCCCGCGCAGCACCGGGGGCAGCGACGCGACGAGGGATGGACGGCACGGCGAGGCCCCACCCAGGTGCTCCACGGGACCAGCACCCAGGAGAGGGCACAGGCAGGGAGGCGGCAGCCCGCGGGCGGCCCCGGGAGGCAGCATCCCGCCGCGGCGCCGCGGGCCGCCGTTGCATGTGGCCGCTCGGAATGCATCCCCGCTCAGGAGCTCCTCGGCACCGCCTGCACCCCGGGGCCCCACCTGCCCCGGCCGCCTGAGGCCCCGCCTTCCTGCGCCCTGTCTCCCTAACTAAAGCTGCGCGTGGCCCGCCTAGCTTTTAGCGGAAGAGTTTCGCTACCCCCCCGCCGACGTCGACCGCTCGCCCTGGGTCGCGTCCGCGCGGGGCTCGGCGGCAACCCCCGAGCAGGGAAAGCCTCCGAGCGGTCGCGCGGCGCGCCCACGGGGTAGTCTTGCATCCCCACCGCCCAGTGGGCACCTCCACGGCGGGGGCCCCCCCCTTGCTTGCGGGGACCCCGCCCGTCCGTCGCGGGCGGGGGCGGGACACGGCCCCGCGTGCCAGCACGAAGGTCGATCCTCTTCCCTGCCCGGCGTCTGTGGCGATGTGGGCTCAGGCGCTCGGCCGTTTGCAGGATGACCCACTCACAGCCACCCTGGGGCACCAAATTCCCGGGAGTGGCAGGGGCCCTGTGCACAGCGCCCCTGGCACCGCAATCCGTAAAGAAGGTTTCATTGTCATCCCATATTTGTTCCACGATCGCACCGCCCAAGGCTCATCGAGGGTACGAAATTATACGCCAGCCGCCCGATCCAGCGTGCGCATTCGCAGGTGGAGCTGAAAGCCGAGGGTCCGCGGGGTCTTGTTGGGGAGTGCACTTAGAGGTTCTGCACTTCTGCTAGCTTGCCTTACCTGCTAGCCCAGTGATGGGGCGAAGTAAAGCGCGTCATCACTATGATCTATGATCGTCATCCTGGCTTTCGGTATCGTCATCGGCACCGTCATCGTAGCCACCACATCACCATCACCAGCGCTACGGTTGGGGCGTTCGTTGAGGAATGTGCCCAGGAGCTGCAGGCCCTGGAGAATTCCTTATCTGAGGAGGGCGGCTGTGATATACATGGCCGATCTACGATTCGAGTTCCCTCGGCTTCCAGACCCTGGATTCCTTAGCGAAGGGTTCCTTGTCTAATGCCCCCACTGTACCACATCCATTGCAGGCTGACATCGGCATCAGCAGACGCATGATCGTCATCGTTTTCATTATCACCACCATGGCCCTCATCTCTACATGATATGTGTTGCAGTCGGAATTTCCGTGGTGGTTCCACGACCTTCCCTCTAAGCTTTGATTACCTAACAGCGAAGACTGATAGGTTTCTAATGGGGTCACAAGAGAGCATCTGATGACTCCCCAGGGGGGTCTGGGCGGGAGCCGGACAGGCGAGAACCGGGCTCGTTTTAAGCAAACAGTCACACGCTTCGTGCTCTTCGACCTCCCAGAACTCCTTTTCCGGGCCACATTTTGAATGCCCGGAGCCAACTGTAGGCCACTTCGTGCTCTTCGACTTCCCAGAACTCCACTCCCGGGCCACATTTCGGATGCCCGGAGCCAACTGTAGGCCACTTCGTGCTCTTCGACTTCCTAGAACTTTATTCCCGGGCCACATTTTGGATGCCCGGAGCCAATTGTAGGCCACTTCGTGCTCTTGGACTTCCCAGAACACCATTCCCGGGCCACATTTTGAATGCCCGGAGCCAACTGTAGGCCATTTCGTGCTCTTGGACTTCCCAGAACACCATTCCCGGGCCACATTTTGAATGCCCGGAGCCAATTGTAGGCCACTTCGTGTTCTTCTAGTTCCCAGAATTCCATTCCTGGGCCACATTTTGAATGCTGAGGCAAGCTGATGCTGCGGCCGAGGCAGGCTGAGGCTGAGGCCGAGGCTGAAGGCAGACTGAGGCTGAGGCTGAAGCAGACTGAGGCTGAGGCTGAGGCTGAGGCAGGCTGAGGCTGAGGCTGAGGCTGAGGCTGATGAGGCAGGCTGAGGCTGAGGCAGGCTGAGGCTGAGGCGAGGCTGAAGGCAGACTGAGGCTGAGGCTGAAGCAGGCCGAGGCTGAGGCTGAGGCAGGCTGAGGCTGAGGCAGGCTGAGGCTGAGGCTGAGGCAGGCTGAGGCTGAGGCTGTGACTGCGACTGCCGTTGCCACTGCGACTGTCATCGCGAATGCGACTACGATTGCGAGAACAACAGAATTCTACAACTGGATTCTCATTTGAATCTTAAGGGGAATGCTTCCAGATATGCTCCTACACATCGCTGTTAAGTTGCTTTGCCGGGATAATTTTTTCTCCTGCACACGTACACACACACACACCACGAAACCTGTGAATGAGGTACCACCACGGCAGTGACAGTTTCGCAGTTGGCACGAGAGAGAACCCCTCACGCCCCACATTGATCTCGCAATTGACCAGCATCGTGGAACAATGCAGCGGTATAGCTTGCGCCCTGTATCCGTACGCACGGTGCTTGCGATTTCGAGCTGCTCTCGCGCGCGAGTGTTTGAACACCAGCTGCCACACAGTCTCAGGAGTAGAGCGACACAGACTCAGAAAGAGGGAAAGAGAGAGAGAGAGAGAGAACACAAAATTGCTTTCCCATCCAGTAAACGACCCTGATCGTACTCGTCAGGCTCGCCGCGGCCAGCAGCACTCGTGTTTCCGCACGTGCCCGCTGCAGCCACTACGGCTACAGAGCCGAACGGCTCCCCCCGTTTCCTCCCCGGCGCCCCGGCACGTCGCAGAAGCCCTGGGACATGGCGGCGTACCGAGGCCTGGAGGCCGGGGCGCACGGCAGGGGCAGCGCGTGGCTGCCCGGCGAGGAGAGCGCGGCCGACTGCGCCGAAGGCTCAAGTCGGGCATGTCCTTCTACGGGGGGAACCTTCAAAAGCAGTCCAGAAGTGTTCTGGGGACGGTCTCTTGACCATCTGTTGTACATGTTTGAGCATTTCAGGGGGGCATCTTTTATTTTTTTTTCGCCCAGAGGACACGCCCGACCTAACCGAAGGCCCGCCCGAGCCCCTCGCCCGAGGCCGCGGGGGGCTCCGACACCGCCCCGCGGGGGCGCTGCTGACCGCGGCGGCGTTGCTGGCGGCGGCCCTGCCGGCAGCGCTGCGGGGCGCGGGCGGAGGCTCGCCGCTCTCTGCGGCTCCGCGGCACGAGGGGGGCGGGCACGGCGAGGGGGCGGCGGGGTGGCGGAGGGCCGACGCCCAGATGTCGGTCGGGCGTGTGCCTCTACAGGAGGAAGGCCCTTAAGAAGAGTCCGAGGATAGTCCGGGGACAATTTGCCGACTCTGCTTTCGAGCAGTCTGGGCGTGTGCTTTCTTTGTCGCTCAAGATCCCCCGGAAGGAGCACACGCCCGGCCTATCACGAGCGGGGCAGGGCACGGAGAGGGCGGGGTGCGGAGGCCGACGCCCAGGCGTGCGCGCGCATTGCCAGGGTCTCGGCGGGAGGCCGTGGGCCGCCGTCGGCCTCGGGAGGGGCCCCTGCCGGGCCCCAGAGTTGAGTCGGGCGTGTCCTTCTGCAGAAGGAACGCAGTCAAGAATAGACCCAAAAAATAGTCTGGGGACGATTCGTGTGACTCTTTCTGGGCATTTCTGCTGGACTATCTTGTGCTCTACGCCCGAAACCCGCCTGTAGGGGGACATGCCCGACCTAAGCCCAGACGTGCCAGGGTCACGGCGGGAGATCGTGGGCAGTGGTCGGCCTCTGGGGGGCCCCCCGCAGGGCCCCAGGGCCGTCCAGGAAGGGCTCCTCCTCCTCCTCCTCCTCCTCCTCCTCCTCCTCCTCCTCCTCCTCCTCCTCCTCCTCCCCCCTCCTCCTCTCCTCCTTTTCCTCCTCCTCCTCCTCCTCCTCCTCCTCCTCCTCCTCCTCCTCCTCCTCCTCCTCCTCCTCCTCCTCCTCCTCCTCCTCCTCCTCCTCCTCCTCCTTCCGTAGCCATTTAGGCTCAATATGGCACGCCATCGCGAGCGCAGCGTGGATACCGCTAGTCCGCAGCCAGGCCCAGCTGCTTCGCAGCCACACCCAGGGACGAGCTGCCGTCCACTTCTGCGTACCATCCCGGCGTTGCAAACCGCCATTCATTTTGCTGTGTGTCTCGTGCAGAGCATCCAGTCCGTCTCAAGCCCTGTGCCGAACATCCATATTCCCGCATCGTTCGCAGCGCCGTGCTCCCATATCGAGCCATCGTGAGCTGCTCCGACCCAGTCAACGAGAGTCAGTCAAGTACGCGGTGGTCATGCAATGCACCTGGCAAGTGGCGAATGGTTGAACAGCACTTCGACATCCGTTGTCCGTACTACAACATCATGTCCGCCGCTTCCTCAGACAGGGACGACCAATCCAACGGCTCCACGTCCCGCAGTCGCCGAGAGGACGACCACCAACGCCACGAAGATTCTCGCCGCGACGAACGTCGTCACGACGACCGCCAGCAGCGACGGGAAGAACCCCGTAGAGATGGCCGACGTGCTGCCCGCGAACTCCTGGAACACCGTGGCAACACAGGATTCAGCTGCCAAGGCCCCGCAGGTGCTCCTCAGCAACAACCCGGTGCAGCAGGTCGAAGCTCCGCTCGCCACCCACCGACACCAACACGCAGGTCAGCCAGATCAGGAGGAAGTGCTGCGCCCGAAGCCCCCACAGTGGCCATGGAAGAGAGCGCGAAGCCACCACATGGTTTTGCTAATCATGACTCCCTTCAGGGCGACGCTGACCCATGAGCCAACGCCAAGTTTATCGAGCAGCAGCTGGGGCCCGCAGCCGCCGAACAACTCGCCCGTGATATCGAAATGGATCCTGCCTTTGCTTCCCAAGCTGCGGCTGCGCCAGCCACTCCAGTCACTGGACACGCTACTCTTGGATCGCAACACGAACCACATCATGCACACCAAGAAAGAAAAGGACCTCTACCTGGGATACCCGAAGACATCGATGTCGCTCTTCGGGAACTCATGCATCGACAAGTCGCCAATGCCGCCTCCCGATTTCAAGAACAAGCTGACCAAATCTTCGCTTAATATCGTGAAAGTGTCCGCCTTCTCGTTCAACGACAAGTTACCGCTGCTGAACGCCGAGTGGATAAATTCCATGGCGAAGTCGCCCGCACTCGCAGAGAACAAGACCGCCAGGCGTCAGAGCAGCAGCGCATGCGGCAACAGATCGACCAGATGCGCGACACCCTTGCCTTCGCAGAAGCACAGACACCGATTGCAGACCTCATTCGTCTTGCCGAATGGCTCCGTCAGCCGGATCCGACGCTCTTCGTCGCGGGCTGCCAGCGCCCCCTGGCTCCGAACGCGGTGCTCAACGCCCTCCAGGAATGGATTGCAGACGCCAACCTCCAGTCTAATCGCGTTGAACTACTCGGAGATGGCGAACCTGCCCGCCGCTTGATCCTACATGTCAAAGGAGACTGCGCTGTCGCAGCACCCCGTGCGCTGGCTCTCTCGCGCGCAATGCGCAATGCAGCTGGCCAATGGAAGCGGTTTACCTTAACGGATACAACACGTCAGCCAGTTGACATTTACTTCAACCCCGACAAGCTCCCCAAACAGATCAGAACAGAAGTCCAGACCAAGAAGCTCCTTCAGCTATTGCAGCAGCGCTACCCTCGTCAGCGGTGGAGAGCTTTCCGCACCAAGGGAGACATCCATTGCGACTCCACGCCCATCGCCAAAATCATTATCCGTGGCCAGGCAGACCCCTCCACCCTCCAGTGGAACGAGGGAGCCTTCGACAATTCGCAATACCAGTCCATCGACCGAGGCAACACCCTCACCTCCTTCCAGGCGCTCTTTGCCGACACGGAGTCAGATACCCGGCGCGCATAACCCTCGCCGCGCTCCTCAGCAGCTTGAAACCGTTGAGATGCCGATCACCATCGTCCTAGAGTACACGCATGACAACATGTCCTACAAGGGCAGATACTTCATCCTCAAGCTCGATCCTGAGGGCACCGAGCTGCAAATGTTCCCGCGCGCTGTCCCGAGCACGCACCTGGTTCTCATGAATGTCAACCGCGCCGGTTACATTGTCGATGCCATACCCAAGTTTGAGATGCCGCCCACTCCTGCTGATTTTCCCGCGCTGCTAGCCGCCATTCATATTGCTGCATACACTGTCCCGAGCTTCCAGGTCGTCTCGCGCCCCCTGCCGTGCATCGTGCTCCGCGCCGTGCATCCATATCGATTCATCGTGTTTCGCTCCGCCCAGTCCCCGAGAGTCAGTCAAGTACGCGGTGGTTTCGTAGTGGGCCTGGCCAGTGGCGAATCATTGAACAGCATCCTCATACCAGTTGCATGTAACACAACATCATGCCCGCCGCCTCTTCCGATAGGGACGCCCTCCCCAACGGCCCCACGCCCCACAGCCGCCGAGAGGGCCGCCACCTTCGCCGCGCAGTTCCTCGCCACGACGAACGTCGCCATGAAGACCGCCAGCACCACATGGAAGAACCCCGCAGAGATGGCCGACGCGCTGCTCGCGAACTCCTCGAACACAGCGGCCGCACAGGATTCGCCAGACAAGGCCTTGCAGGCGCTCCCCAACCGCTACGCCGCGCTGCAGGTCGGAGCACCGCACACCCACCACCGACCCCTTCCCGCTGGACAGCCAAATCGGGAGGAAGTGCCGCGCCTGAAGCCCACGCCGCGGCCACTGAAGAGCCTCGTGCTGCGCATCCATACCGCCTCACCGCATTGCATCCTGCATTCGTATCCATTGTCGCTTCGCCACGCGCTCACTGGCATCCCGTCTTCGTCGCGATGCATCCCAGCATTGCCAACATAACCGAGTACATCATCACGCACGTGCCGAAGGGTGTCCCCATCGACGTCGGGGCGCCAACCAGACCGCAGCTCCAGTACTACATCCGCGACCTGAACGACCTCGCCTTCGCCTTCCTGTTGAAGGGCGATAGCACGCATGGCGTGCTCGCCAACTACAGCGCGCCCGCGTACGTTCACCCGCTCGCGCTGAAAAGCAGGGATATCAGAACCATCGCAGGCGCCGCCAATCTCTTGGTCAAGAGCGCTGTGACAAAGCGCGCGCACACCATCCAGGAGGGCTTCTCCCAGGGCCACAACATCCCCAAGCTCACCGACCACCTCGACACCGTGAAGTATTGTGCTCGCTCGCTGCTACCCTATACCGACACCAAGCTCATCGCCGCCAGTTTTGGCTTCTCGGACAAGATGAACTTCCTCCACGCCATGCACTTAGCACCAGTCAGCTACATCAAGTTCAACAGCGAGCGCCGCGACACGTTCGTAGTCGGCTCTGGAGTGGGGCAGCGCTGCCCTGTATCAGATTTGGCCTGGGTGGTAGCCATGGGCCCGATCATCCACCACCTTGCTGCGTTCGTTCAGTTCTCGAACGGCACGCCGAGCCTGGACTTCGATCTGCAGACGTACCCGATCGACACGCTGAGCCAAGGGACCGCCTTGTTTGCCGCTACGGAGGTGCATGCGCCCCTCCCTGCGAAGCCACGGAAATCCTCTGTTCGCACCCTTCTGGCCTGACGCTTCCCCTGCTACCATCGCCCTCCCGAAAGCGCTCCTGGTCGCCCTCGGTCCTCCCTGGGGCTGCTCATCGGCTGTGGGGCGAGCCATGGTCCCGGGCTCTTCTCTCGGACCCGAGGCCTCATTGATTTGCCTAAGGCTCGCCCCTGGGCAAAAATGGTGGCAGCGGGGCAATTTACTTCAGCGCAGGCAGAGCGGCAGCAACGCCACCGCCCGCTTTTACAATACATCAGCGCTGTTCATTCGCAGCTACGTTTCGCACTTCTCCCCCAGCGTTCCCACCTTTGCACGCGCCAGCGCACAGTACCACCGCCATCCCATGCGTCACGCAGCTCGTTTGCCGCTCCCGTGCCAGTCCAACGCTGCTGCCGCCTGCGCCTCTCACAGTGCGCAGAGCGCGGCGGCAGCTGCGAACCCACTCCGCCGAGCCAAGTTCCGCCGCATCTATACAGTCAAGCTACGCGATCAGTACTGCAAGGCGCCGTTCATGGTTTTTGCGTGTCGAGCGCTTCCATGTTTGGAGCCTTCAAGCGCCCCAGGCACCGAGTGAACCACAGAAGCGCTGGGAAGCACTGACCGATGCTCTCAAGCAGCTGCGCCCGAGTGAGCTCTGGCCACGTTCAAGACCCTCAGCAGTGGTTGGACTACCTCTGCGAGGGTGCAGATTCTTCAGCAGCACAAGTGCGCCCTCGAATGCACGGACGCACCTGAATCACTCCCGCACCACATCCGTTGGCTTTCTGACCTCCAGCTCATCCAATCTACACTGACGGCAGAGGGGCTGGGCACGGCCGCAGCATATGTAGCTGAACCCACCAGCCGACCACGATCTCAAGGATCGCTTTGGCAATCCAAATGCATTACAATGTCAAGTCCACCGCCGCGCGTACGGCGGCTGTCTCGCATGCAGGCCCTGTCGCACTGCGCCGTGCATCACACACAGACATTACTATACAGGTAAAGGCGCTACGCTAAAACACGGCGGCTGAGCCTAACTCATTTGCCGTCTTCTCGTTCGTGTTCGTGTCCGCCTGCCCTCTTCCTTTCTCAGGGTACCCATACTCCTCCTCCTCCTCCTCCTCCTCCTCCTCCTCCTCCTCCTCCTCCTCCTCCTCCTCCTCCTCCTCCTCCTCCTCCTCCTCCTCCTCCTCCTCCTCCCCTCCTCCTCCTCCTCCTCTCCTCCATCCCCTCCTCCTTCTCCTCCTTTTCCTCCTCCTCGTCCTCCTTTTCCTTTTCCTCGTTTTCCTCCCTCCTCCTCCTCCTCGTCCTCCTCCTCCTCCTCCTCCTCCTCCCCTCCTCCTCCTCCTCCTCCTCCCCTCCTCCTCCTCCTCCTCCTCCTCCTCCTCCTCCTCCTCCTCCTCCTCCTCCTCCTCCTCCTCCTCCTCCTCCTCCTCCTCCTCCTCCTCTCCTCCTCCTCTCCTCCTCCTCCTCCTCCTCCTCCTCCTCCTCCTCCTCCTCCTCCTCCTCCTCCTCCTCCTCCTCCTCCTCCTCTCCTCCTCCTCCTCCTCTCTCTCCTCCTCCTCCTCCTCCTCCTCCTCCTCCTCCTCCTCCTCCTCCTCCTCCTCCTCCTCCTCCTCCTCCTCCTCCTCCTCCTCCTCCTCCTCCTCCTCTCGCGGCGAAGAGCTGGCCCCTTGGGAACAGGGTCGGGGCTTCAGGGGGCCCCGTGTTGAAAAAAACAAAAAAGCAGCGCATCGCAGGTGTGGGCAGCAGTTCCTGCCCATGTGGGACAAGACTCGCTGGCGGTGTCGCCGCGGACGCTGTCGCCGCGGACCTTTTCAGTTTGATACAAAGTGTCACCTGGCCGACAGTTTCCTGCATCGGTTTTTGGCAAAGTTTGTTGTTAGACATCGTACCCAATTCTTCAGTACCACTTTCGAGCGTGTCAAATTTCGCCCCTCCTCGAACTAAGGGTGCAGGGGAGGGGAAAGAGAGAGGACGCAATCCACTGGATCCTGGAGTCGCAGCTTCTTTGCTCGCGCTGGGCGTTTTCGCCTGGGTTCGGGCCATGGGGTTCCTGGAAGGCCGATCCCGCTCGAGGAGAGCCGCAGGAGAGCTCAGGGTCGTGGGGGGAAGGGCGGGACAGACGAGATGGAGGGGGGCGAGGAGGAGGAGGAGGAGGAGGAGGAGGAGGATGAGATGGAGGGGGGCGAGGAGGAGGAGGAGGAGGAGGAGGAGGAGGCGGCGGGGCCCTTGCTGGTGCGCCCAGGGCCAGGGCCGGAGCGCGACGGATCGCCCCGCACCATCCAGCTCGAGTCCGAGCCGCCCAGCGAGAACGGGACGGGGAGCGACGAGCCGCCCCTCTACCCGAACGGCAGCGCCGGGTGCCTTGCGTCCCGCAACCTGACGTGGACGGCCCCCTTCGGCGGAGTCGTCAGGTCCGCGGAGGGGGCACCTGCACGCCGCCGCCGTGCTCGGCCAGGGCCACCCCGTGGCTCGGGATGGCGTGCCCGGGCCCCCCTCGGACCTCGGCCGGGGGTGGGCCCTCGCACGGCGCCCGGGGCCCAGGACGGCCCGGACCAGGCACGGCGGTGATGCGAAAGCCCTCTGCCCGTCAGGGTGCTGGTGGTGGGGGGCGGCGGCGGCGGCAGCAGCAGCGGCGCGGGCCTCGCGGGCGGTGGAGGCTACGGTGGGGACGTGGGCGAGCAGGAGTTCGAGGTTGCCATCGGCGACACCTTCACCGTGATCATCGGCGAGGGGGGCACTGGCGGTGCGGGCCTCGACGGCGACGGGAGGGGTGCCGGCGGCAGCGAGTCCGCCTTCGTGGCGGACTCTGGCGTCGGAGAGCTCCGGAGCCGCGGCGGGAGGGGCGGTCAGCCCGACGGAGGCGGAGGTGCCGCTGGGCGGTGCTTCGACAGTTGCCCAGCAGATGGCAATAATAGTTTGTACATTGTTGATCGGAGCGAGCTCACAGCGTGCCTCAGCATCTCCTCCGGGAGCGTCATGGTGAGAGACCTGACGGAGTGCCTGACCAACGCCTCGCGTGAGCCCAACGCCTCGCGTGAGCCAGACTCGGGGGGCGGCACCGACTTGGCCGTCGTTAATTTGTCTACTTTTTACAATTGCATGGAGGAGTCCGTCTTCGACGGGAAGTCCGACACTGCGGAGCCGACTGATCTGATTCCTTGTCTCAACATGTCAATGGGTGAGGCTGTTGGAGGACAGTGTGGTATTGGCGCATTTGGGGTGACCTCGTGCATATCTGGCGATTGCATCGCGTACGGAGGCGGAGGTGGTGCTGGCTCCAACGAGACAGCTTGCGGAGAAGTTGAAACTGGCGGCGTCGGTGGCGGTGGCAATGGCGGGGCCCCCGGCACGGGGCTGGAGGGCAGGCCCGGGATGCCAGGTTTTGGCAGCGGGGGCGGGGGCGGCGGCGTGTCAGGCACCAAGAGCGGCAACGGCGGAGACGGAGGCAGGGGCGCCATCATTCTGCGCTACATTCTGATCAGCGACCTGAACGGCACGATCCTGCCAGAGAGCTCCAGCGATGAAGGCAATGCCTCGAACCATTCCGCCAGCGACACTGGCGGCGGCTGCGGTCCAGGCGACAATTGCCTCCCAGAGCAGTACTGCGGCTTCCCGACAGGTGTGAGCCCGAGCCAGATCCTGTGCCCGAGCAAAGGCAGGTGCCCTGGCGAGGGATCGCCATCGTTCACGACATGCCAACCTGGCACGCAGAACGCCTGCGCTTGCCAGCAGGAGCTGGTGAACGGGCAACAAGCGCTGACGTGCGAGTGTCCGCAGAGCGGCGACTGCTACGATTCCCTGCCGCCGAACTCGACGGATCAGGGAAGTAACGCCTCGAATCCGTCAGCTGCTGGCACGGCAGGCAGCGCAGCGAACATTTCTGCCGCTGGCATTGGCGGCGGCCATGGTCCAGGTGAGGACTGCGCTTCGGGGCAGTATTGCGGCTTCCCGACCGGTGTGAGCCCGAGCCAGATCTTGTGCCCCAGCAGCAACAGGTGCCCTGGCGAGGGATCGCCATCGTTTCCGACATGCCAACCTGGCACGCAGAACGCCTGCGCTTGCCAGCAGGAGTTGGAGAACGGGCAACAAGCACTGACGTGCGAGTGCCCGCAGAGCGGCGACTGCTACGATTCCCTGCCGCCGAACTCGACGAGCCAGGGAAATGATTCCAGCGCGGCGAACACTTCCGCCGCAGGAACGGGTGGCGGCCATGGTCCAGGTGAGGACTGCGCTCCAGAGCAGTACTGCGGCTTCCCGACTGGTGTGAGCCCGAGCCAGATCTTGTGCCCCAGCAGCAACAGATGCCCTGGCGAGGGATCGCCATCGTTTCCGACATGCCAACCTGGCACGCAGAACGCTTGCGCTTGCCAGCAGGAGTTGGAGAACGGGCAACAAGCGCTGACTTGCGAGTGCCCGCAGAGCGGCGACTGTTACGATGCGCTGCCGCCAAACTCGACGAGCCAGGAAAATGATTCCAGCGCGGCGAACACTTCCGCCGCAGGAAAGGGTGGCGGCCATGGTCCAGGTGAGGACTGCGCTCCAGAGCAGTATTGCGGCTTCCCGACCGGTGTGAGCCCGAGCCAGATCTTGTGCCCCAGCAGCAACAGGTGCCCTGGCGAGGGATCGCCATCGTTTCCGACATGCCAACCTGGCACGCAGAACGCTTGCGCTTGCCAGCAGGAGTTGGAGAACGGGCAACAAGCGCTGACTTGCGAGTGCCCGCAGAGCGGCGACTGTTACGATGCGCTGCCGCCAAACTCGACGAGCCAGGAAAATGATTCCAGCGCGGCGAACACTTCCGCCGCAGGAAAGGGTGGCGGCCATGGTCCAGGTGAGGACTGCGCTCCAGAGCAGTATTGCGGCTTCCCGACCGGTGTGAGCCCGAGCCAGATCTTGTGCCCCAGCAGCAACAGGTGCCCTGGCGAGGGATCGCCATCGTTTCCGACATGCCAACCTGGCACGCAGAACGCTTGCGCTTGCCAGCAGGAGTTGGAGAACGGGCAACAAGCGCTGACTTGCGAGTGCCCGCAGAGCGGCGACTGTTACGATGCGCTACCGCCAAACTCGACGAGCCAGGGAAATGATTCCAGCGCGGCGAACACTTCCGCCGCAGGAACGGGTGGCGGCCATGGTCCAGGTGAGGACTGCGCTCCAGAGCAGTATTGCGGCTTCCCGACCGGTGTGAGCCCGAGCCAGATCTTGTGCCCCAGCAGCAACAGATGCCCTGGCGAGGGATCGCCATCGTTTCTGACATGCCAACTTGGCACGCAGAACGCCTGCGCTTGCCAGCAGGAGTTGGAGAACGGGCAACAAGCGCTGACGTGCGAGTGCCCGCAGAGCGGCGACTGCTACGATGCCCTGCCGCCGAACTCGACGGACCAGGGAAGTAACGCCTCGAATCCGTCAGCTGCTGGCACGGCAGGCAGCGCAGCGAACATTTCTGCCGCTGGCATTGGCGGCGGCCATGGTCCAGGTGAGGACTGTGCTTCGGGGCAGTATTGCGGCTTCCCGACCGGTGTGAGCCCGAGCCAGATCTTGTGCCCCAGCAGCAACAGGTGCCCTGGCGAGGGATCACCATCGTTTCCGACATGCCAACCTGGCACGCAGAACGCTTGCGCTTGCCAGCAGGAGCTGGTGAACGGGCAACAAGCGCTGACGTGCGAGTGCCCGCAGAGCGGCGACTGCTACGATGCGCTGCCGCCGAACTCGACGAGCCAGGAAAATGCTTCCAGCGGGACGAACACTTCTGCCGCTGGCACTGGCGGCGGCCATGGTCCCGGTGAGGACTGCGCTTCCGGGCAGTATTGCGGCTTCCCGACTGGTGTGAGCCCGAGCCAGATCTTGTGCCCCAGCAGCAACAGGTGCCCTGGCGAGGGATCACCATCGTTTCCGACATGCCAACCTGGCACGCAGAACGCTTGCGCTTGCCAGCAGGAGCTGGTGAACGGGCAACAAGCGCTGACGTGCGAGTGCCCGCAGAGCGGCGACTGCTACGATGCGCTGCCGCCGAACTTGACGAGCCAGGGAAATGCTTCCAGCGGGGCGAACACTTCTGCCGCTGGCACTGGCGGCGGCCATGGTCCAGGTGAGGACTGCGCTTCCGGGCAGTATTGCGGCTTCCCGACCGGTGTGAGCCCGAGCCAGATCTTGTGCCCCAGCAGCAACAGGTGCCCTGGCGAGGGATCACCATCGTTTCCGACATGCCAACCTGGCACGCAGAACGCTTGCGCTTGCCAGCAGGAGCTGGTGAACGGGCAACAAGCGCTGACGTGCGAGTGCCCGCAGAGCGGCGACTGCTACGATGCGCTGCCGCCGAACTCGACGAGCCAGGGAAATGCTTCCAGCGGGGCGAACATTTCTGCCGCTGGCATTGGTGGTGGCCATGGTCCAGGTGAGGACTGCGCTTCGGGGCAGTATTGCGGCTTCCCGACCGGTGTGAGCCCGAGCCAGATCTTGTGCCCCAGCAGCAACAGGTGCCCTGGCGAGGGATCGCCATCGTTTCCGACATGCCAACCTGGCACGCAGAACGCCTGCGCTTGCCAGCAGGAGCTGGTGAACGGGCAACAAGCGCTGACGTGCGAGTGCCCGCAGAGCGGCGACTGCTACGATGCGCTGCCGCCGAACTCGACGAGCCAGGGAAATGCTTCCAGCGGGGCGAACACTTCTGCCGCTGGCACTGGCGGCGGCCATGGTCCAGGTGAGGACTGCGCTCCGGGGCAGTATTGCGGCTTCCCGACCGGTGTGAGCCCGAGCCAGATCTTGTGCCCCAGCAGCAACAGGTGCCCTGGCGAGGGATCGCCATCATTTCCGACATGCCAACCTGGCACGCAGAACGCCTGCGCTTGCCAGCAGGAGTTGGTGAACGGGCAACAAGCGCTGACGTGCGAGTGCCCGCAGAGCGGCGATTGCTACGATGCCATGCCGCCGAACTCGACGAGCCAGGGAAGCAATGCCTCGAATTCGTCAGCTGCCGGCACGGCAGGCAGCGCAGCGAACCCTGCCACCGTGGGCACTGGCGGCGGCCATGGTCCAGGTGAGGACTGCTCTCCGGGGCAGTACTGCGGCTTCCCGACCGGCATGAGCCCGAGCCAGATCCTGTGCCCCAGCAGCAACAGGTGCCCTGGCGAGGGATCGCCATCGTTTCCGACATGCCTCCCCGGCACGGAGAACGCCTGCGCTTGCCAGCAGGAGATGGCGAACGGGAAGCAGGCAAGGACGTGCGAGTGCCCGCAGAGCGGGGACTGCTACGATGCGCTGCCGCCCCCGGCGGCACGACGCATGGCGGCTGCAGGTGGCGCTCTGGGACCCGGCGGGGAGTGCGACGCCGGCCATCAGCAGTTCTGCGGCTTCCCGCAGGACACCCTGGTCAGCCAGATTCTGTGCCCGAGCACGAACAAGTGCCCAGGCGAGGGATCCCCCAGCTTCCCAGACTGCACGCCCGGCGACGAGAACGCCTGCGCCTGCGAGCAGGTCTTGGACTCGAGCGGGGGCCAGGAAAGAACGTGCACGTGCCCAGAGAGCGGAGATTGTTACGACGCAGTTGCCACTGAGAACTCGAGCCAGGAGAACGCGACCACCATGACGAACACCACCAACTGGAATCTAGCGGCCTTCGGCCCTCGCCACCGCGCCTAGATTGTAGGCCAGAGTCTTCTTGGCTGCCTTTGTGGGTCTCTCGGGATGCCCCTTGGGGGCCTCTTTGAAGCATTTTTGAGCCCTCCTGGGGGCCTCTTGGCGGTCTCGGGGGCCATCTAGAGGTCTTTCAATGACTGCTCACCCCTTGAGAGCTTGGAAAGCACACCATGTCTTTCAATAATTGCTCACCCCTTGAGAGGCCATGTTTGCCAGCGTGGGTCCCCACCTGTGAGATGCTGCAGTGTGGATATGTGAGCTATGTAGTGCGACGTGTGAGATGTTATATGTGTGGTATCAGCTGCGAGGTGTAAGCTATGTGGCGCAATGTATGTGGTGCAACCTATGTTGTGCGAGCTATAGTTTGCAACATCTGCGGTATGAGCTATATGGTACAATCTCTAGTGGCTTTCGGCCCAATCCGCCACCGTGCCTGGGATGTAGGTCAGAGTCTTAGGGTCTATTCGGGGCGCTCTCAGGGGCCTCTTGGGAGCAGCTTTGGGGCCTCATGGGAGCTTCTTGGGAGCCTCTTGGGGGCCTCTTGGGGCCTCTTGGGGGCCTCTTGGTGGACTCTTGGGGCCTCCTGGAGCGCCCTCCTCGGGGCCGAGGTGGTGTGAGCTACGTAGTGCAGTCTAAGTGGCGCAATCCACCCTGCATAGCTGGAAGCAGTCAACTCCGCTGCTTGCGCAATCATCCCACCCTCCCTCCCGCAACTTGGTTTGCATAATCCATGCGGCCACGATTGCGGTGAATTCTTGGCACCGACGGGCGCATCTTTGCGGCTGCGCTAGCGCGCACAAGCTCGCGTGCACAGCGGCCAGCTGGTTTGGCACAACCGACGCGGCCGCGATGACGCTTACAGATGGGAATGTCCAAGCGCGTCTGAAAGGCCGCGCTGGCGCGCGAGCACGATATCATGAGGAGGTCGACAACGACGGCAACGATGATAGTAGCAATGGTGGTGGCCATGATGACCATCACGACGGCAAGGCCAATGACCGCGCCGATGTTGGTGACGACGATGGTGATGATGATGTCCACGCGTCGGTGATATTGGTTCTGGGCTTATGGTGGCGGCAATGGCGGCGATTGACGTCGACGAGAAAGGCGGTGATGCGGTGCCGATGCTAAGGGTGATGGTGAGGAAGTGCGCGCGCCGGAACTCTAAAACATGGCAGATCTGTGACTGGAAGACATACGGGTTCTCACATGTGCTTCAACCGCTCTGGCTTGCAGTGCTTCGAAAACGAATGGTGCTTGGACGGGGTTCGACGCGCGCGCGCGCGGCGGTGCGCGCGTGTGGCCCAGCATGGTATCATGTGGTACGGATTCGCGCACTGGGCATATGCTAGATAGACGCGGATGCACCGCGTGGTTCTGGGGTCGGGGCGGGCGTGCAAACGCCAACGATCGAGGTCGGGGTGGTTCACCCCCTTTTTTTTCATAGAGCGAGCGTGACTGGGGAGAGCGCGGCGGCGCAGCAACGTGAGGCGAAGCGGGGACGAGGACAAGCCGAGAGTCTCTGAGGTCCAGCGGCTCTGGAGGATGCATCGGGCGCCGCGGCCTTCCCAGAACTTCCCGGGACGCTCTGAGAGCGTCCTGGACCGCGTCCGCGGGTTCTGGACGAGATTGCTAAATTCATCCGGCTTTCCATTGATTTCGGCAGAGACGCGCGGGCAGATAACTTGTGGGCTGCGCGACGGGAAACCTTAGGGTGTTTGTGCGTTGTTGCTGAGACGTTTGCAAAACTTGTGCGTCTGGTTTGTTCTCGACATGCGCGCGGGTGTTTGCAAGAGGTTCCTGGAGACAAATCATTTTATATAGACGAGTGTACACGCATAGTGTTATTTGGCAGGGATGGAGATGGGGGTCAATACCAGCCGGGCAGGGATGGTTCTGAATTCATTTGGAAAATGAGCGACGAGGCAGAATCATGCTTTGTTTACAGTGTTCTAGAGGGAACCGTTGTTCGTGGGGGGAGTCGACCCTCCTGTTGGAAAGAGATTAGACACAGTGCAATCTATGTAGTGCAAGCTACGTGGTGCAATTCACTTGTGGAATTCGCAGTTGTCAATTCAACTGTTCGCGCAACCATCCCACCAACCCACCTGCAAGTTGCCTTGCAAAACACGAGCGGCGGCGATTGCCATGAGTGTTTGGTGTTGGCTGGTGAATCTCTGCGGCCGCGCCAGCCCGCGCATGCACTAGTTTGGCGCGACCGACGCGGCCGCGGTGGCGCTGACCGCTGGGCACATCCCAGCGGGCGCTTCAGTGCGAGTCGGCCACTTGGGCGTGCGCGGTATCATGGCAACGTCGACAACAGCAGACACGATGATGATAGTAGCGAAGCTGGTGACGATGTTGACAAAGGAAAAAGCGCGTTCTGTGGTCGCTTGGAGGGGGGGGGGTCAAACCGGACCCCCCCCTCCTCCCCTGGATGGAAGGGGGGGGGTTCGAACACCCCCCCCCCCTCCCGTGACGGAGACGTTCCTCCCCTGCTTCCCCTCTCCTTTCCTCCCCTGCCTCCCCTCTCTTCGGGCCGGCGCTTGCGTCGGCGGCGGCTGGCGGCGGCGGCGGGGGCGACGATTTCCCGGCGCCTGCTGCGGCAGGCGGCGGTTGCGGGGAGCGTCGACGAGGACGACGGTGGTGGTGGTGGTGGTGGTGGTTTGGTGGTGGTGTGGTGGTGGTTTGTGGTGGTGATGGTGGTGGTTGTGGTGGTGTTGGTTTGTGGTGGTGGTGGGGGGTTGTGGTGGTGGCGGTGGTTGGTGGAGGTGGTTTTGGTGGTTGTGGTGGTGGCGGTGGCGGTGGTGGTGGTGTAGTGGTTTGTGGTGTTGGCGGTGGGTTGTGCTGCTAGTAGTGGTGGTGGTTGTGGCGGTGGTGGTGTGGTAGATTGCGGTGGTGGTTGTAGTGGTGGTGGGTTTTTGTGGTGGCGGTGGTGATGGTGAGTTGTGGTGGTGGTGGTGTGGTGGTGGTTTGTGGTGGTGGTGGTGGTGGTGGTGGGTTGTGGTGGTGGCGGTGGTTTGTGGACGTGGTGCTGGTTGTGGTGGTGGCGGTGGTGGTGGTGGTGTGGTGGTTTGTCGTGGTGGCTGTGGGTTGTGCTGCTAGTAATGGTTGTGGCGGTGGTGGTGGTGGTGGTGTGGTACATTGTGGTGGTGGTGGTAGTTGTGGTGGGTTTTTGTGGTCGTTTGTGGTGGTGATGGTGGGTTGTGGTGGTGGTTGTGGTGGTGGTTGTGGCTGTGGTGGTGGTGGTGGTTGTGTGGTGGGTTGGTGGTGGTGGTGGTGGTGGGTTGAGGCGGCGGTGTTGGTGGTAGTGGTGGCGGTGGTGGTAGTGGTGGTAATCGTCGCTGCGTCCCCGCCGTCGCTGGCGCCAGCGCCGGCGCTGCTGGCCGCCGCCAACGCCGGCGCCCGATTGGGCTGCCTCTGGTCATCGTCGCTGCGTCCTCGCCGTCGGCGCTGCTGGCGGCCGCCAACGCCAGCGCCAGGGGGGGGGGTGAACCCCCCCCCCCCTTTGGAGGGGAGGGGTCGGGAGGGGGGGGGGGCTGGGGTGGTTTTGATCGACGGCACCGACTGTTGGGGAGGGGCCACCCCCCGGTTCGAAACGCGCCGCCGAATGTTCCCAAGGCAAGCGCCCGTGAAACGCGCTTTCCCTGACAAAGACGACGGGCCGGCCAGTGACGGCGCCGATGCGAATCACGCCGACGACGATGACGGCGTTTTCGCATCGGTGATGAAGGTTCTGGATGGATTTCGACATGCGCGCGCGGCCGACGCGCGAGAGTGGCCCGCACGGTATGATTTGATACGGATCGTACAGTCCCCATCACGCGCACAAGGGCGTTCGAATAATCCGTAAGGGCTTCGCCCCATGCCGCCGGCCCCCTGTCTCGGATAATGGGAGATGCAAAAGCTAAATCATGAGATCTGGGCGCCGCCGTGAAACAGTGTCGGGACCTGTTTGTTTTTCGACCCTGACCCTACGGATCTGCGTCGCGGGTGCCACCGAATTTCAGAAATGTGGCACATCCCTGTGTTGTTGGACCCTGACCCTGCCGACTTGCGTGAGGGGCGCCGCCGAATTTCAAAAATGTGGCAAATCTGTTGTCCTAACCATCCTGTGGTGTTGGGTCCTCGATTTGAAGGGACAGCGCCCCGCGTCACCTCCTCCCGCTGCCCCCTCCCCCCTCCCCCTCATCCCTGCGTTTCACCCACCCAGCACAGCGCTTCGTAGCCCCATAGGGAGCTCCACCGAAGGCCCCACCCGCAGGGTTCGCATGGCGGCCTCGGGCCATTTCGGCACACCCCTCACGAGGATCGTGGCCCCATAGGGAGCTCCACCGAAGGCGCCAGTGGCAGGGTTCGCATGGCGGCTTCGGGCCATTTCGGCACACCCCTCACGAGGATCATGGCCCCAAAAGGGAGCTCCACCCAAGGCCCCAGTGGCAGGGTTCGCATGGCGGCCTCGGGCCATTTCGGCACACCCCTCACGAGGATCGTGGCCCCATAGGGAGCTCCACCGAAGGCCCCAGAGGCAGGCAGGGTTCGCATGTTCGGGCGGCCTCGGGCCATTTCGGCACACCCCTCACGAGGATCGTGGCCCCATAGGGAGCTCCACCGAAGGCCCCAGTGGCAGGGTTCGCATGGCGGCCTCGGGCCATTTCGGCACACCCCTCACGAGGATCGTGGCCCCATAGGGAGCTCCACCGAAGGCCCCAGTGGCAGGGTTCGCATGGCGGCCTCGGGCCATTTCGGCACACCCCTCACGAGGATCGTGGCCCCATAGGGAGCTCCACCGAAGGCGCCAGTGGCAGGGTTCGCATGGCGGCCTCGGGCCATTTCGGCACACCCCTCACGAGGATCGTGGCCCCATAGGGAGCTCCACCGAAGGCCCCAGTGGCAGGGTTCGCATGGCGGCCTCGGGCCATTTCGGCACACCCCTCACGAGGACCGTGGCCCCACTGGAGCTCCACCGAAGGCGCCAGTGGCAGGGTTCGCATGGCGGCCCCGGGCCATTGCGGCACATCCCTCACGAGGATCGTGGCCCCATAGTTGTGCTGCTTCAACAACCGCGCCTGGGCGTCGTACTCCGCCTTGTCGACGTGCAACGCCACCTCCTCCCTCATGGTTCTCAAGGCCCTCTCCTGCTTTTGCTCCTCGGTGAGAGGGACGCCGTCCTTATCGTCGTCGGCGCCCGCGAAGACGGCCACGAACGTGTCCCTGAGCATGTCGGGCTCCGGCGGGAAGCCGTGGCCACATAGGGAGCGCGGGCGAAGATGGTATTCACAATTGCGGCATTCACAACTGCATATGGTTGGATCTTTCGCCAGGATAATTGTTCTTAGACCCTGACCCTGCCGATCTGCGTGAGGGGTGCCACCGAATTTCAGAAATGTGGCAAATCCCTTTTTGTTTTTGGACCCTGACCCCGCCGATCTGAGTGAGGGGCGCCAGCGAATTTCAAAAATGTAGCAAATCCTCTATGTTTTTAGACCCTGACCTCGCCGATCTGCGTGAGGGGTGCCACCGAATGTCAGACATGTGGCAAATCCTCTGTGTTTTTGGACCCTGACCCAGCCGATCTGAGTGAGGGGCGCAAGCAAATTTCAGAAATGTAGCAAATCCCCTGTGTTTTTGGACCCTGACCCCGCCGATCTGCGTGAGGGGTGCCAGCGAATGTCAGAAATGTGGCAAATCCCATGTGGCTTTGGACCCTGACCCCGCCGATCTGCGTGAGGTGTGCCACCGAATTTCAAACATGTGACAAGTCCTTTTGTATTTTTGCACCCTGACCCCGCCGATCTGCATGAGGGGTGCCAACGGATTTCAGAAATGTAGCAAATCCCCTGTGTTTTTAGACCCTGCCCTCGCCGATCTGTGTGAGGGGTGCCACCGAATGCCCGACATGTAGCAAATCCTGCGTTTTTGGACCCTGACCCCGCCGATCTGCGTAAGGGGTGCCAGTAAATTTTTGACATGAGGCAAATCCCATGTGTTTTTGGACCCTGACGCCGCCAATCTGCGCGAGGGGTGCCACCGAATGTCAGAAATGTGTCAAATCCCAAATGTTTTTGGACCCTGACCTTGCCGATCTGGGCGAGGGTGACAAGTTTCACCCACCCCAGCAATTCAGAGCACACGCTCAGGGCGTGGTAAAAATGCTCGTTTTGGGCCTCCCCTCCTCGCGCGGTCCATCAACAAGGAACAGTAAGCAGCAAGAAGCAGAACTGCAACAGGAAGCAGCAAGAAGCAGAACTGCAACAGTGGAAACTGGAAGCTGCAACTGGCACAGGAAACTGCGAAGCTTCGGCCTACAGCCTGGTGGCCCCACAAGGGGGCCGGCGGATGTCGGCATTCGGCGCGAGAAGCCCGCTTGGCGGCATTCCATGAAAATGTTGGAAACCGTTGGTTTGTTTCATTGCCAGTTGTACATAATTATAACCAAAAAACGAAACAGCGTGAGCGCAGGCTTGTTTGAAAACTGTTGTTGCGAAACCACGTGTTTGTTATATGGTTTCGCTGCACTCGTTTTTGAATTCCGTACGAAACCTAAGGTTCTCGACGGATTTCAGCATGCGTGCGCGACGACGCGCGCGGGTGCTCTTCGTCTTAATTGTTGCAAGGGGTTCTCGCCACAGTACGCGCGCAAGGGCGTTCAAACGATTTCGACATGCGCGCGCGAAGCCCGTGTAGTAGGATGTTATGAGAATGGTGGAAACTTATGGTTCGGCTCAGAATTCCCCAGATCGCGCGCGCAAGTTTGTTTTGGAAATCCGTGTTGCGAAACCATGTGTGTTTTCTATGTTGCTTGGACCATCGATTTTAAAATCCTTACGAAACTTGAGGTTTTTGAAGGACTTCAGCATGCGCGGGCGACAACGCGCGCGTGTGCACTTTGTTCCCAACCATGCTGTGGTGTTGGGTCTTCGTTTTGACGAGACAGCGCCCCGCGTCACCTCCTCCCGCTGCCCCCTCCCCCCTCCCCCTCCTCCCTGCGTTTCACCCACCCAGTACAGCGTTTCGTAGCCCCATAGGGAGCTCCACCGAAGGCCCCAGTGGCAGGGTTCGCATGGCGGCCTCGGGCCATTTCGGCACACCCCTCACGAGGATCGTGGCCCCATAGGGAGCTCCACCGAAGGCCCCCAATGGCAGGGTTCGCATGGCGGCCTCGGGCCATTTCGGCACACCCCTCACGAGGATCGTGGCCCCATAGGGAGCTCCACCGAAGGCCCCCAATGGCAGGGTTCGCATGGCGGCCTCGGGCCATTTCGGCACACCCCTCTCGAGGATCGTGGCCCCATAAGGGAGCTCCACCGAAGGCGCCAGTGGCAGGGTTCGCATGGCGGCCTCGGGCCATTTCGGCACACCCCTCACGAGGATCGTGGCCCCATAGGGAGCTCCACCGAAGGCCCCAGTGGCAGGGTTCGCATGGCGGCCTCGGGCCATTTCGGCACACCCCTCACGAGGATCGTGGCCCCATAGGGAGCTCCACCGAAGGCCCCCAGTGGCAGGGTTCGCATGGCGGCCTCGGGCCATTTCGGCACACCCCTCACGAGGATCGTCACGAGGATCGTGGCCCCATAGGGAGCTCCACCGAAGGCGCCAGTGGCAGGGTTCGCATGGCGGCCTCGGGCCATTTCGGCACACCCCTCACGAGGATCGTGGCCCCATAGGGAGCTCCACCGAAGGCGCCAGTGGCAGGGTTCGCATGGCGGCCTCGGGCCATTTCGGCACACCCCTCACGAGGATCGTGGCCCCATAGGGAGCTCCACCGAAGGCCCCAGTGGCAGGGTTCGCATGGCGGCCTCGGGCCATTTCGGCACACCCCTCACAAGGACCGTGGCCCCAATGGAGCTCCACAGAAGGCGCCAGTGGCAGGGTTCGCATGGCGGCCCCGGGCCATTGCGGCACATCCCTCACGAGGATCGTGGCCCCATAGTTGTGCTGCTTCAACAACCGCGCCTGGTCGTCGTGCTCCACCTTGTCGACGTGCAACGCCACCTCCTCCCTCATGGCTCTCAAGGCCCTCTCCTGCTTCTGCTCCTCGGTGAGAGGGACGCCGTCCTTGTCGTCGTCGGCGCCCGCGAAGACGGCCACGAACGTGTCCCTGAGCATGTCGGGCTCCGGCGGGAAGCCGTGGCCACATAGGGAGCGCGGGCGAAGATGGTATTCACAACTGCGGTATTCACAACTGCATATGGTTGGGTCCTCCGCCAGGATAATTTATTTTTGTTGTTAGGGGTTCTTGGAAACTGTTGGTTTGTTGATAAACGAGTGCGCGCATTGTATGTCTTGCACAGGATGACCGGGGGGTCGATATCGGTTCCCTTGGGATGAAACGAGTTCATATTTGGGATGGACGATGGGACAGAAGAATATGTAAATTGGAACACGAAAAGGGGTGCGGATGATCCCGGGGGGGTATATTTTCGTTTAAGAAAAGAGAGTAAATATAGTGTGGGTTGTGATATGTGAGATATGCTGCGCAAGCTACGTGGTGCACCCTATGTGGTATGAGCTACGAGGTGTAAGCTATGTGGCACACTTTGCGTAGCGTGAGCTATGTAGTGTACGTACGGTGCGCCCACGAAGCGCCCACGGTCTGCAACGTGGCGAAAACTCGCCAGACCCACCCACGAGGCGGCCACGGGCGGCAACGTGGCGAAAATTCGCCAGACCCACCCAGCGCACGGGGCGGCCTCGAGGCGGCCACGGGCGGCAACGTGGCGAAAACTCGCCAGACCCACCCAGCGCACGGGGCGGCCTCGAGGCGGCCACGGGCGGCAACGTGGCGAAAACTCGCTGGACGCATCCAATTGCTTAGCGACATAAGCAGGAAGCCCTTAGGTGCAAGCACTGTTTGGGGAATGTGGGTCGCCCCAAAAGTGCCCAAGAGCGCCCAGACCTCTGGACCCTGGGCCCCTTGAAGAGCACTCGCAAGACCCAATACCAAGAAGTCGACGGGACTAGGAGACGCTCCACTCAGTGCCTACAGCACGGTGGCGGACGAGACCAGCATGGCAAACATTACCGATTTCAATGTGTTGGCAAGCCTGATTCCATCGTGGTGTATCTCGGAGGGGGCCTTTGACTGCACAGCGGGCGTCAACAATTGGGAGGCCGGATGGAGTCCGGACAAGAAAGAGTGGTGCTGTAAGTATTTCAAGATAGCGTGCGAAGAAATCGAGTTGAACGAGAGCCTCGGTGATCCGAAGTTCTACTCAGAGTTCATTGGCGAAGAACAAAGAGTGCACATCATAAATCTGCCCGTGGCTTGGAGCATGGAGCAGGTGACGAAAAAGCAACACACACCCATACACGTGGGGGGAAAAGGGGGGGCTATGGTTGCGTGTTGTCTCATGGAAGTCCCCGCTCGAGTGGGGGCCTCCCGTGGGGCTCGACCACCCGCACCCCTACCCATAGCCAGTCCTCCTCCTTCCGACCCCCCTATGGGTATGGGTGCGTGTGTTGTTCGTTCGTCCGCAGGTCAGCCGGTTTCACGAGGCTGCCTGCAAGGAGGTCGACACCTATGGGCGCGTGGGCTGCAAGGGCGTCGAGGGCGGCCTCCGGGCCGTGGCGGTCTCCGCCAGCCCGGCGTGGGTCATCGGTACGATCGAAATGGGTGCGGCCTTTCGTTTGCTAATGTTAGGTCGGGCCTGCCCCTCCACAGGAGGGACATTCAACAATAGTCATAAAAATTGTCTGGGGACGATCTTTTTGGTATGTTTTGCCGTGTTCATATATTTGCTGACTATTCTTTAGTTTTGGTCTAAAATCCGCCTGTAGGAGGACATGCCCGACCTAATGCTAATGGGGGTCGGGCTTCTGGGGATCAGGAAACGGTGAGCTCAATTCCTTGGAATTTGCTGGTTCGGGGCCGCATTATTGTCTCAAGAGATGTGCCTGCCTCGGTTTCTCCCTGATAGCTCCTTGGGACATCGTTCGCCCGGGCCAATGTTTCTCTCAGAAAGCATGTTTTTCCTTAGGTTGCCCCTCGCTGACCCTAACCCCCAGAAGTCTGACCTCCCATTATCAGGCGAAAGATACGGAAACAATGGATACAAAGTCAACAGCAGTTTTTGCCCATTTTGAATACGGCTCGCTGTCGGTGTCGCCGCGGACGCTGTCCAGTCGAGACGGAAGGCCGCCTGCCCAACAGCGGCCGCTGCCGGTTTCGGACAACATGTGCTGTTGGGCGTCGTGCCCCTCTTACCCGCATTCATTTCGGGCGTGCAGAGGTCAAGCTGGTCATGAAGCGTTTCATCAAGCTCGACCCCGGTCCCGCGGTGCGCACAAGGGGGGGAGAGCGACGGGTCCGGCCGTCTCCGAAGGGGCGCCTCCTGGGAGCTCTTGGAGCTTAGGCCTCCCCGATGGGGTCGGGGCAGATGGGGTCGGAGGATCGCGCCGCGTCGGCGATGCATCGGCGATGCGGCTTGGTGTGAAGTCCGGCTTTCTCCGGGCCTGCGTCGCCGATGCGCCGCCCACGTCGCCGATGCATCGGCGATGGATCGTCGATGTGTCGACGATGCGGCGAGATCCTCCATCCACGTCTGCTCTGACCCCCTCTGAGAGGCCTCTGTGGAGGCATCCCCACAGGCTTCCGAGAGGGGGCGCGATCCTCTCTCAGGTTGCCGCAGCCCTGGCCCGGCCCCCATCCCAGACCCCCAACGTCGTGATTTTCTCACAACGTCGACCCCCAGAGGTCCGGACCCTTTCCCGGGGACCGGTTTTTCATCCTGGGTCGTGTTTCGTTGACGGCCCCGAGGCCCAGGAAAGTCCCCCAGAGGCCGAAAATGGCGAGAAGCCTCCCGTCGTGGTTTCTCCGCGCACAGCGCGAGGAGGTCCGGGGGATCGAGGCTCGAGGATGTGGGCTGCTGCCTCGGGCGCCTCTCTTTCCTTGTACCGTTCGCGTCTTGCCCCTCCGTGGGCCTCCCGCCCGCGGGAGAGAGAGAGAGAGAGAGAGAGAGGCCAAGCCGCTCGCTCGCAGGACCCCTCCGCGCCGGGAGTGCGCGGGCCAGGGCGCGCGCGAGGACGGGCCCCGGGGGCCGACGTTGGATCCCGGCACGTCGACAGGCCTCTTCGGTCGGCGCAGAGGGGTCGGAGGGAGGATCGAGGGACCGGGGGGAGGATCGAGGAGGAGGGAGGAGACCGAGGGAGGATCGAGGACTCAGGAGGGAGGATCGAGGATCGACGAGGCGTGGAGCGCTCTTGGGGCGTCCCTGGAGGGTTCAGGGGGAGGGGGGGGCCCGTTTCACGGAGGTGCTGGCGACCCGCATCGGTGGAGGCCCTCCTTGGCACTGCCCGGGCGGGCCCCCGTCCAAACCGCTCAAGTTCGACTACACATAAGAGTGGCCCTTCGCTGGAGTGGCCTTTGGTGCGGGCCCACTGGGGCCCCCCGATCGCCGAGCGCGCTGCGGTAGTAGCGTCTTGCGCGCTCATATTTGATCCCCCCGCGGCCGCCAATGAGCCGCGCACCAGAGGTCACTCGTACCCAGCGTCACTCTTGCGTGCGGCCGATTCGTTGCGCGATATCCGACCCGAACCTAATCTCTGGGTCGGTTTGGGAGGTCGCCGCGGCTATCGCGGCGGCCACAAGTCGGGGCGAGGTTTTTACCAAGCAGTGGCATGCCCTTCTCCCGACCCCTCCCCCCGTTCTGCGGTGCCGACGTGGCTACTCAGTGACAGTAGAGCGGCAGAGAGCTGTCAGCTTGTTTCCAGCCGGGCACCCAAGACTCCCCGCGAGAGCCGCCGGCAGGCGTCACGTTCGCGGACGCCGACGCGTTTGCGGAGCAGAACCTGAAGCTCCCCCTCGTCGAGCCTGCGGAGGCGCAGCCAGAGGGCCAGGAGGACGGCAGTGGCGCCTCTCTCTCGGAGGCGCCGGCGCGGAGACTGAGGATCGAAGGACAAAGAACGTCGGAGCCGGCTGGGGGTCTGAGGTGGAGAAGCACTGGTTTTAAGCCGGGCTTGTCCCTCTACAGGAGGACAGTTCGGAAGTAGTCAAAAAACAGTCCGGGGACGATTTTGCTATTATGTTTGACCACTCAGGGGCATTTGTTTATCATGTGGTTTTTCCTCCAAAATCCGCTTGTAGGGGGACATGCTCGACCTAACACTGGCTCCAGCCAGCAGGAGGGGGAGGGGGGCCGAAGGGCCAGGCCCGAGGTGCTGCCGGGTTCGGAGAGGTGTTTCGGCTCCAAGTCGGGCACGTCCATCTACAGGGAGGAACATTCAAAAATGGTAAAAATAGAGTCTCGGGACGATGTTTCGACTATGTTTGGCTACTTTTGCATATTTTGGTTGGCTGTTCCTTGTTGTTTTCCGTCCAAGATCCGCCTGCAGCAGGACATGCCCGACATTCGGGGGTGGACAGAGCCCACCCTGACACGTCGATTAGTGAGTTATCCGTTTTCGGTTCTCGAGAGGGCGCCGCGGCCGTCACTTTCCAGGCTTGCGCCCGCCAGGTTTGGGTTTCGTTTTCACCAAATCATGTTTTAGGCTCTTTGGTCTCCTGGGGCCGGCTCCGGACCTCGGGGACCGTCAGGGACGGGCCCAGGGCGAGACGCTGCGCCCGGTGGGCGCTTGTGGGGTGGGGGTCCGGGGACCGAGGAGGAGGAGGAGGAGGAGGAGGAGGAGGAGGAGGAGGAGGAGGAGGACGAGGAGGAGGACGAGGAGGAGGAGGAGGAGGACGAGGACGAGGACGAGGAGGAGGAGGAGGAGGACGAGGACGAGGACGAGGACGAGGACGAGGAGGAGGAGGAGGAGGAGGAGGAGAAGAAGAAGAAGACGAAGAAGGAGGAGGAGGAGGAGGAGGAGGACGAGGAGGAGGACGAGGAGGAGGAGGGACCTGCCCTCGGCCCCCCCCGCCCTTCTCTTGGTCGACGCGTTGGGGCCCCATCCGGTTCGGACCCCCCGCCGCCTCCAACAAAAAGGGACGGCTCGAGCATGTGGCTTTCCCTGCCCCGCTGTCGCCTTTGTGCGGGGTGCGCGCTCGGGATGGCCCCTCCCGAGGGGCAGCGGATTCCGCCTTCTCCCCATCCTCGCTGCCGTGGAAAAAATTAGCTTGGCGAAGGACCCAACCATACGCGGTTGTGAATACCGCACTTGTGAATACCATCTTCGCCCTCGCTCCCTATGTGGCCACAGCTTCCCGCTGAAGCCCGACATGCTCACGGACACGTTCGTGGCCGTCCTCGCGGGCGCCGACTACGACGAGAACGGCGTCCCCCTGACCGAGGAGCAGAAGCAGGAAAGGGTTCTGAGAGCCATGAGGTGACTGCCTTTGGCGCCTTCGGTGGAGCTCCTATGAGGCCACGATCCTCGTGAGGGGCGTGCCGAAATGGCCCGAGGCCGCCATGCGAACCCTGCCACTGGCGCCTTCGGTGGAGCTCCTGTGGGGCCACGATCCTCGCGAGGGGTGTGCCGAAATGGCCCGAGGCCGCCATGCGAACCCTGCTACTGGCGCCTTCGGCGGAGCTCCCATGGGGCCACGATCCTCGTGAGGGGTGTGCCGAAATGGCCCGAGGCCGCCATGCGAACCCTGCCGATGGCGCCTTCGGTGGAGCTCCTGTGGGGCCACGATCCTCGCGTCCTCGCAAGGGGTGTGCCGAGTTGGCCCGAAGCCGCCATGCGGACCCTGCCACTGGCGCCTTCGGCGGAAGCAGCTCCTTATGGGGCCACGATCCTCGTGGGGGGCGCGCCGAAATGGCCCGAAGCCGCCATGCGAACCCTGCCACTGGCGCCTTCGACGGAGCTCCCTACGGGGCCGCGATCCTTGTGAGGTGCGTGCCGAAATTGTCCGAAGCCGCCATGGGAACCCTGCTACTGGCGCCTTCGGTGGAGCTCCTATGGGGTCACGATCCTCGTGAGGGGTGCGCCGAAATGGCCCGAGGCCGCCAAGCGAACCCTGCCACTGGCGCTTTCGACGGAGCTCCCTACGGGGCCACGACCCTCGTGAGGGGTGTGCCGAAATGGCCCGAGGCCGCCATGCGAACCCTGCCACGGGCGCCTTCGGTAGAGCTCCCTATGGGGCCACGAAACGCTGCACTGGATGGGTGAAACGCAAGGAGGGAAGAGGAGGGGGGGGGAGGGGGGGAAAGATGGAGGAGGAGAGGAACGCGGGGCACCGAAGGACCCAACCATACGCAGTTGTGAATACCGCAATTGTGAATACCTTTTTCGCCCGCGCTTCCTATGCGGCCACGGCTTCCCGCCGGAGCCCGACATGCTCAGGGGCCCGTTCGCGGCCGTCTTCGCGGGCGCCGACGACGACAAGGACGGCGCCCCTTTGACCGAGGAGCAGAAGCACTTGTGCTAGGACCACCCCCTGATTGCGCGCAAGGGTGTGCTCACGTTGTTGCGCTGCTTGAGCGTTTCCGACCATGGAGTCTCGCGGCACAGTTCAGATCCATCGGAGGCCACAGCGAGCACGGGCGAGCACGACCAGCGGTCCCACACTAACTTCGTGCACAGCATATCGCACCCACGTGCATGGCGAACGTGGGCGCATTTTTCAGCCAGCCGATGCCGCATGCAGGCCACCTTGGGTTTCCCCAGTGACTCGAGGGAGAGCCCTAAGACTGCGGCGCAAGTGGCACACTTGCAACACACCAACCAACCCCCAGCAGATACGCATCGGCGCCCTCAATGCCAAGGGTACGTCGTGGGGAACCAGCGAGGCCAGGCCAAAGCTGGCGCACATTGCGGAGAAGTGTCATATCTTTCTCATCAGCGATTTGACAAATCCGAGTTGGCTGCGGCAAGAAGTACCCCAGCCATTCACTGCTGCTCTGGAAGAATATAATAGGTTTGTTTGTGGCAAAGTCGGCATCATCTTGTCGGGGTATGCGGTCGACAAGTGGCGCGCTGCAGGCTCCGAGCGGTGTGAGATACCCGAGTCGGACAGATGGATTGGTCTGAGGGTATGTATCCGAGGCTTCTATTACGTGATCGCCGCGCAGTGCACACCACAGCAGAACCTAGCATGGGGCCTGAACCGACGGGCCCAGCATTTTCAGGCAGGCAGCTTACTGATCAGCAGACTTCGGAGATCTGGAGACAAAATTATTTAACAGCTTTTGCTGATAGGTTTCTAGTGGGGTCAAAAGAGAGCAGCAGATGACTCCACAGGGGGGTCGGGGCGGCATCCGGGGAGCTGTGTCCGAACTCGTGTCCGAATTCGTTTTTTTGCAAACAGTCATGCACTTCGTGCTCTTCGACCTCTCAGAATTCCATTCCCGGGCCACATTCTGAATGCCCGGAGCCAACTGTAAGCCACTTCGTGCTCTTCGACTTCCCAGAACTCCATTCCCGGGCCACATTTTGAATGCCCGGAGCCAACTGTAGGCCACTTCGTGTTTTTCGATTTCCCACAACTCCATTCCCGGGCCACATTTTGAATGCCCGGAGCCAACTGTAGGCCACTTCGTGCTCTTCAATTTCCCAGAACTCCATTCCTGGGTCACATTTTGAATGCCCGGAGCCAACTGTAAGCCACTTCGTGGTCTTCGAGTTCCCAGAACTCCATTCCCGGGCCACATTTTGAATGCCCGGAGCCAACTGTAGGCCGCTTCGTGTTCTTCGAGTTCCCAGAACTCCACTCCCGGGCCACATTTCGAATGCTGAGGCAGGCTGAGGCTGCGGCTGAGGCAGGCTGAGGCTGAGGCCGAGGCTGAAGGCAGACTGAGGCTCAGGCTGAGGCAGGCTGAGGCTGAGGCTGAAGCAGGCTGATGCTGAGGCAGGCTGAGGCTGAGGCTGAGGCTGAGGCTGAGGCAGGCTGAGGCTGAGGCAGGCTGAGGCTGAGGCCGAGGCTGAAGGCAGACTGAGGCTGAGGCTGAGGCTGAGGCTGAGGCAGGCTGAGGCTGAGGCTGAGGCTGAGGCTGAGGCTGAGGCTGAGGCAGGCTGAGGCTGAGGCTGAGGCAGGCTGAGGCTGAGGCTGAGGCTGAGGCTGATGCAGGCTGAGGCTGAGGCAGGCTGAGGCTGAGGCCGAGGCTGAAGGCAGACTGAGGCTGAGGCTGAAGCAGGCTGAGGCTGAGGCTGAGGCAGGCTGAGGCTGAGGCTGAGGCAGGCTGAGGCTGAGGCAGGCTGAGGCTGAGGCTGAGGCTGATGCAGGCTGAGGCTGAGGCAGGCTGAGGCTGAGGCCGAGGCTGAAGGCAGACTGAGGCTGAGGCTGAAGCAGGCTGAGGCTGAGGCTGAGGCAGGCTGAGGCTGAGGCTGAGGCAGGCTGATGCTGAGGCAGGCTGAGGCTGAGGCTGAGGCTGATGCAGGCTGAGGCTGAGGCAGGCTGAGGCTGAGGCCGAGGCTGAAGGCAGACTGAGGCTGAGGCTGAAGCAGGCTGAGGCTGAGGCTGAGGCAGGCTGAGGCTGAGGCTGAGGCAGGCTGAGGCTGAGGCTGTGACTGCGACTGCCGTTGCCACTGCGACTTTCATCGCGAATGCGACTGCGACTGCGAGAACAGCAGAATTCTACAACTGGATTCTCATGTGAATCTTAAGGGGAATGCTTCCAGATATGCTCCTACACATCGCTGTTATTAGGTTGCTTTGCCGGGATAATTTTTCTTGGAGGCGATTTCAGTACACACTTCGGCGAGGCGGACAGATCGAGTGGATTCCTCGGCAAATATATAAACCGCACGGCCACATCGAGGATGAGTCACCAGCTGCAAGAGTTCGGAGACGAGGAAGGCCTATCTCATATCGACTCGAGAATTCCGCTCGCACACCGTGGGACCTTCTACCACAATGTAGCGAAGACATGGTACGAGCTCGACGTTTTCTTGACATCTTTTGGGGCGCCATCATGTGGCGAAATTTGAAGACTTGCACTTTCGCCTTGCGCGACCACCGAGGCAAATTCGCATCTTTTCTACCCTTCGGACGCATGACGAAGCAGGAGCTTCAGCATATCAGCGATCC